GCTGGGTGGGGGGGGGGGGTCGGGGTCCAGCAAAGCCGCTGGCCCCCCCAGCAGACCAGGGACACCCGAGCAAAGCCGCCGCCTGGGTGGCTTTGCTCGTTTGCCCGGGAGAAAAGCCACCCAGGCAGCGGGAACCCCGCCGCCTGGGCGGCTTTGCTCCTGTCCCCCTGGTCTGCTGGGGGGGGTCCAGCCGGCTTTGCTCGGGTGTCCCTTGTCTGCTGGGGGGGTCCAGCGGCTTTGCTGGACCCCCTCCCCCAGCAGACCAGGGAGACCGGGAGAAGTTTTTCTCGCCCCGGAGCGAGAAAAGCCCTGTTCGTAAGTGCGGATCCGACGTAAGTCAGATCCGTGTAAGTCGGGGACTGCCTGTATAGGAAGAGTCGGGCTACCTGCATGCCCAGTTTCTACTACATTTAAACTGCAGAGCTGCAGTGACCCCTTATTAACTAATCGTGTACTCAATACAATTTGTATGAGTACACAATTAGTCATTTACTCACTATTTAACACCCTTAATGCAGAGACTCATGCTTCTGAAAAACTTCTCTACTATCTTACAGCATAGTGTCATTAATAAGAACCTCCTATAAAAGCTTTTGAACAGTGGCTCCAGATATTGGTCCACAAAAAGCTGGTTGGTCACATGGCACCGATACCTATTTCCAGCCGTAAAACCACATTAGAAAATAGCTAAAGTCCATCTTCAAAGCAAATCAATTAAGAATTCTGTCCATGATGTTATTCAATGTTTATATGAATTTGTTGGCGGAGGTGGTCATTAGCTAACACAGTGCACTAAAACAAGCACAGTCAGAAGATGGAAATGCTTTGAAAAGCTTGCCTTTATGACATTCACCACTCTCAAGGCTCTTTCTCTTCAAATTAGGAAGCATTATGAAGCATCCAGAACCGTTCAGTCATATTATTTCTCTCACACACACACACACACACACACACACACACTTACTTACCTGGGGTTGCTTGGGTCCTTCAGCACACAGGATTGGAGATGTGAGGGCTCAGTACACAGGGCTGGAGGAGTGAGCAGTGCAGGAGTCAGAGCAGGGGGTTGGGAGGTGTGGGGAGCTCAAGGAAGGGAGTGGGGAAGGGCCTGCTGATTTTTCCCCTGGGTTACACTGGAGTGGGGAAACCACACAGCTCATCCACCAGCTTCTCCCCGGGGGCCAGCTCACAGTGAGGGGTGCAGCAGTCAAGGCCGTCCTTAGGATTTATGGTACCCTACGCGAGATTATTAAACTGGTGCCCTTGTGACTGACTTGCTCTTCCACCCCTACTCCCTCCCCTTCCCAGAAAACCCAGCAGCCAATCCCTTCCCTCAGACTGTGCTGCAGGCAATGCATTCAGCTCTCTAGGACCCAGCCCCGCTGTTACATGCTCTACTGCTTCCTGTCATAGGCATGCGCAGCATATTTCATTAGGGTGTGCACCAAAGAATTTTTTTTAAATGTACCCTTTGACCACCCCCATTAGCAACACCTCTGACCCCCGTTAGCCACGCCTCTGGAGGCAACACTCTCAGGGCAAGATGGACACATGACCAAAAGTAAAAGGTGTCATGTGACGACCCTTCCCCCCCCCCCAAGGACTTTTCACACCATCCTCCTACCAATAGGGATTAGTTTAGCCCCCACCAAACTCTCCTCATTCAACTATCCTGAAATTGCATTAACTCAATGTGTGTGACATTAACTCGGGTGGCAGAAAGGCTGGGGGAAGTGTTCCATCTCAGGCTGGGTCTACACTGGCGCGATCTTGCGCAAAAGCAGCCGCATTTGCGCCAAAACTTGCTGCCTGTCTACACTGGCCGCGAGTACTTGCGCAAGAACACTGACATTCTAATGTATGAAATCAGTGCTTCTTGCGCAAGAACTCTGATGCTACCGCTCAGGAATAAGCCCTCTTGCGCAACTGTTCTTGCGCAAAAGGCCAGTGTAGACAGGCAACATGAATTTCTTGCGCAAGAAAGCCCTATGGTTAAAATGGCTATCAGAGCTTTCTTGCGCAAGAGAGCGTCTACACTGGCATGGTTGCTCTTGCGCAAAAGCACATCTCTTGCGAAAAGGCACATCCCAGTGTAGACACTCTCCTCTGGAAGAGTTTTTGCACAAGAACTCTTCCGCAAAAGAGTTCTTGCGTAAAATCATGCCAGTGTAGACATAGCCTAAGAGTTTCCTCCCACAAGCAAAATGAATTTTGTGTTGTGCACCAGTTCATGTGGCTTGTTTGGATGTGCCACTGTGGCACCCAAGTTATTAATAAATATCTTATAAACCTCTCCCTTTTCTCTCTTCTGCCATGTCTCCTCCCCTTGCTCCATCAGCTCCCCTGGTGCCTGCTGCCCCAACCCCTCACCCTCCTCTGCTGTCCTGACTCCTGCCCTTCTCACTGCCCTCAGCCTTCCTGAGACCTGCCCCCCTCCACCAGCCCTTCTCTCCCCCCTGTGCTCACTCCTCCAGTAGCCCTACTCTGATCATGTGAGCTACCCCTCCTCATCCCCTCTTCTAACATCTCCCTCTACATACCTGCCCTGCCTCTCTCCTCTGGTGCTGGTCTCTCCCCTGCAGGTGTCTGCCCTTCTGCTTCACCTCCAGAATCCCCTGGCACCTGTACCTTCCCTTATCCCTGGACCCTCCTGGTGCCTCCCCCTTCCCTTATTGCCCCTGCCCCTATTTTCCCTGGTGCCCACCACCTCACCACTCTCTGCCCCATTCCCCTCCTGCCCCTCTGTGTCCTCACACGACTTTCTCCATCCCCAGCAGCTGCTCTCCGAAGAGGCCATGGCCATGCTGCCAGACAGTGGCTGCTCCTCGAGCATGGGACTACTGCTGCCTTCCTGTGGTCATTCATGAGTATAACTATCCCTATTATCACACCTCTCCCTTTCCATTTGATGAGATACCATTGCATTGCATGCATACCCCACTGCCCTGCCACAACCAAACCCTAATCTTGCTTTAAGTTATAACAGAGATTTGCATACCAAATTTGGTAGTCCTAGCTCTTATTGTCTAGGAGGAGTTCTTGAACAAACAGACTTTGACAGACCAACAGGCATACAGATTGACACACAAACTCTCTCAAATATATGATAGAGAGATAGGAAATCTTTGCTGATTTACTTTTCCTTCTTTCCTAGGTGGACATTTCAACATAATTTTACTGTAGAACTTTCAGTCCTCTGACATCTCTGTGTACTAAATGTAACAAACTTTAAGACAGTATGTGTCTGTTGACTTATCAATACAGGAGACTGAAAGCATGAGACCACAAGCACATTATTAACGGATGCAAAATACACCTTTATGAACTGTATTTAAATTCATTAACTGCTATTTTTTACCATATGATTCAACCAAAACAAGCAACGTGTAACATTTTCCTTTCTTCCTTTTGGCTGTAAACCTGATTTCTTTTTTCTGGTACTCTGTACAACCTACTCTAATATTAAGCCGCTGGACAGGAAATAAGAAAATCCTGTGCAATTATACCTTCAAATATATGGAATTACATACAAGGTAACTAGGTTTCCCTTTAAAAGACTAAAAATCCTGTGACAGTAAACAATTTAATGAACATGTCCATTTAATAAAATCATCAGAAATACATACTGCATTACAAAGCAATGAAGACAGGGGTCAATAATCAGCGTTCTTGACAGTTACTTTGTTTCAGGTTATGTTTGGTTACTTGGTTTCCTAATTTAATAAAAAGGGGATTAGATGCCTAATAAGCCGCATGAAATGCAAACCTAAATTTAAGAATAATAAAAAGTTTGTCTACTTGAGAAAAAGGAAAGTTTAACAAAACCACGTGGTATTTTGATAAGGGAAATAAAGGGGCACAGAGGAATCCATTGACAGCAGTATTAGGGACAGCAAGAAGGATTTTTTTTAAATATACTAAGAACAAAAAATCTTGACAATGGTACTTGTCCATTACTCGACAGAAATGGCAGAATTATTTCTGCTCTGTATTTGGGGGAAAACTGATGCTACAGTCTCAAAATATGGTGATAATATTTTTTCCATTCCATTAGTAGCTCCAAAAGATGCTTAACAGAAGCTACTCGAACAAGACATTCTTAAGTCAGCATGTACAAAACTTGCATTCCCCAGAATTTTTTGAAGAATGAGCTGAGAAGCTCATGGGACCATTTATGTTGATTTGGGATACTAGAGAAGTTCCAGAAGGCTGGGAAAAAATCTTTGTGTTGTACCAATATTTACAAAGAGTATGGAATGACTCAAGTAATTATAACCCTGACATCAGTCTCTGGCAAGATAATGGAATTCATAATATAGGATTCAAAGAATTAAAGGAAGTTAATACAATTAATATGGGTTTATGGAAAACAGCTCTTATCAGATTTCAAGTTTGGTTTATAAAAGTTCTGTAAAGGGTATGACTGGTATCACCTGTCATTTTTATTAAACTAGAAGATGATGCAATTTACATAGCACATATTAAATGTATTTAAAACTAACTAACAAATATTCTCAAAATGTATTTCTCAAAATGTATTTCTAAATAGGGAATCATCATGACAGGGCTGTTTCCAGTGGAGTCCTACAGAGATTGGTTCTTAGCCTATGCTAGTTAACATTTTTATCTGTGACCTGCAAGAAATCATAAAATCATCACTGAAAGTTTGCAGACCACACACAAAAAATGGAGGAATAATAAATAATGGAGGGGTGAGGTCACTGATTAAAAGCAATCCATATCACTCAGTAAACTGGGCACAGGCAAACTATAACCTCCTGGTGGGTTTGGCCACTTTGCATCATCATCTCTCTTCTAAGCTTGTTTCAAGTGAATTGAGTCTGAGTTTCTAGTTGATGAAACAGTAGCATATGTACTCATAGAAACATTAACAACACACACAGGAGTGGGATAACAATCTGTTCCTCACTCCCAAACAGGAAGGCTGGTGAACTGCCTTTAGACATGGGTCACCATACCAGTAGCTATGTTGCCACCTGCACAGCTCTGAGGTTTATAGGGAAAGTCCTCCCACTGTGCTGAGATGCTGTCCACAGGAAAGGATCCCGAATCAATCACACTCCAAAATTTTAGCTTTACATTTTGGACGTCATATTGTCATGCAAAACGTCTGAGATCCAAGTGAGAATGAGATTCTCATCAGGAGCATGTGTGAAGTTATGGTTAAACAACCTCTAAAATATTCTTTAAAATGCCAAGAAATATTACTTTGAGTGGTCAGCTTGAAAACTACGTTTTTGTATTCCAACTGTTTAAACTGGTGTTCTTCCCCAATAGCTTCTCTGCTTGTTTGTATAACACCTTTCAAGAAATTTCCAGAGACTATTAATTCCCTGAGCTTGTATTTTAAAAACTACCCAACTGATGAAAGCTTTTCCCTTAGAAACCAATGTAAAAATCAATTAGATGAATTAATACTTTAATGACATTTCTTTACCCTCAAGCAAGTAACTTGGTCTCTCAGGATTTAGTCCCTCAGGGTTAAAATTAATGTTTTGAAAATATAATTCCTATAATAGAAAAAGTTATTTTTCTTGGTAAACATGAGGAGAGATTATACCAGAAAAATCAGAATCATACTTTCCATATCCCCAATCTGATTCTCCCTTCCTTCAAGATCACTTGGCTCCTTCCTTGGATACCTTCATATATTCCCAAGACTATATGATAATTGCTCGCTTTGGATATACACACTAAAATATTTGTTGCTTCCACATTGATTGTAAATGATGTTAGTTTCATTATTAAAAATTCCAAGCATTCTAGAATAGCAGTTTATTGAACACAAGGTTCAATAAATAAGCAAGAATAATTACAGTCCTCATCATATTTATAAATAAATGCAAAAATCATTTCTTTGCAATTACTTTCCCTGAACCAGGTCCACAAAGAAAAAAACCCTCTAAAGTTAAGCTCTTTCTTCTGCAGCATGCAGAAAGATACTATTATTTCTAATTTTGCTTACTGTGCTGCATTATGGGCATCCATACAGTCAAAAAAAGATAGGCATGGGGCCATAAAAGTACTAATTACATACTGAAAAGGCTACATCTTTGATTACATTATTTAGAAACAGACAATATAACACTTGAGAATGTTATAGGGCACCACTCTAAATTAGCAGAGGGGATGGAAATGTTAATAGGACTCTCATCTCCAGCTTCTCTAGTTCACTAGCTATGTGTGTAGTGGGCTGAACAGAAGACAGATAAAAAAAAAGCAACTACCTCTGGGTCTCAGTTCCTCACTGG